ATCTAGTATTTCCACGTGGTCTTTTTACCGGGGAAAGGGGCCAGCATCTCGTCTCCCCAGTCTCTCCATCTTCACTCTCCTTCCTTACTATTTCCTCTTTCCTCCTCATCTCCTAGTCCCGCCTATCTTGCTTTCCTATTGGCCAACAGTGCTTTATTCATTAAACCAGTATGAGAAACATATTTACAGAATCGCATCTCCCATCATCTCTTCTTTTCTGTCTAAATAAAAAGAAGGGTTTTAACCTTAACATAGCAAAATATATAACACAACAGTTATCAAATATGAATCACAGTTAACAATATTTAGTCCATTAACATTTAGCAAGATTAAAAGAAACTATTCTATTATCTATCTTATATTTGTGAGTCTAAAGTCCTATATGTAACTTATCTTTAAGGTTAACTAAGGAAAACTATAGCCATAACTATCTGTCTTTAACTCCTTCAAAGACCACAGAAGTATAGTATATAAACTCTACAAATGACAGAGACATCTTGCCTTTGTCAGTCACCTGAAGTTCTTCTGTAATCTTCCATCTTCAGCCCATAGGCCATAGTGTGTCTAGCAGACTCTTCAGCAAAGCAGGAAACTTTAAACTGTCTTCTTGTATTGGCAGTTTGTCAGTCACTTTTCTCTGTGTCCTGCAGACTGTCTGGCAGACTCTTCCATGAAGCAAGAACTCTGTAGCAATGTCCATTTTGAATCAGCAGTCAATTTTCTGTGGGTCCTGCATGTCCAGTTTATATAGCATAAAGTCAAACAGTCCAGACAAGAGCAGTATCTTGTCCAAATGGCTAGTCTTGCCATATTGGAAGTAAACTTCATAACGAGTTTGTTTCTTCAATGTCCATCTTCCTTTCTGACGCAGGTGGTATTGCCAGGAGCAGTTATGTCTCACTGTCAAGAAAAACCCTAAAGGATTTTAAATGCCATATTCTGTAGGTCTTTGAAAGATTTGAAGAATGCCTATTCATCTTAAATACATGTCTGTATATCTAGAAATCCTAACTAACTTAACTATAAGTTTTGACTTTTATGGGTAGCTATCTAAAATCTGTACTAAATTATACATTACATTTCTGAGTTATATAAACACAACATCTAAACAAGAGGAGAAATATACTTAATCACAAAATTGACCTTAAATTGTATCAATAAATGAAAATCCATCCCAAAACAAAGTATTTATATCTCTATCATAATCCCTTTTTACCTTTAAAAAGAGATTGGTTGTGGTCATTAACCATTTATAACCAATGCCATTTGAATGAAACATTTATAAACAATATTTGGGAATTTGGGCGTCGTTCTTTCCAAACTACTTCCTGCTGATAGGGGGCGCTGTTATGGGGGATCCTAAAAAGAGGCAGAAATTGGCTGTAATCTGCAAGGCTGCCTTGTTTAAGCTGTTTTGAATATTGGATCACCAGCAACTCTGTTTCAGGGGGGTCTGGCTTGCTCAAACCACATTAGTCTGGAAGTAATCCACAGCTTTTTATTTTCTGTGGAAACAAAAATAGAAATCCTTTTCCCTAGTAACTTGTCCTTGAACTTAAATGTTGGAGTCAAAGCATTTTTAAAATATATAAATTGAATTAATCCAGCAGCATTTCCTTTAACAGTTGTTGTTTCCTCAGCAATCAAACAATACAAAGACAATATAGTATCTTACAGTATACAAATTGTCTCCATCTGTGGCTTTGTTATTATTCTGTTTCTTTTCTATTTTTTGAGACAGAGTTTCTCTGTGTATCTCTTATTTGTCCTGAAATTTACTCTGCATACCAGGTTTACTTTGCAGTGGCAGAGATCTGCTTGCCTCTGTCTCTCAATTGCGGGGATTAAAGGCGTGTGCCGCCACACCCACCTGTTCTCTGTCTTTTTAAAACCATATTTTTGTTTTGTTTTGTTTCCAAGCCTACTTTTTAAAACACACTGTAAACCTTTAGAAGTTTTTCTTCATATGAATCTGTCTTTACTGTAAATATTTATCTTTTTCTGGCCATGAGTCTTTATCTGTTAAACAACAACATTGTTAAAATGAAAGTCTTTGTTGTTTCTGCTGCGGTTATCAAAGATGGCTGCGGGTACCTTTACCGTCAGCAATGAAAGCTGTGGTCACTGCCCTGGTCAACGCTGCCATCCAGCAGGCATGCTGCCGCCTTGGAGATGGGGTCACTGCCATCGCCATCTCGCATGCACACCAATAAATTGTTAGCAGAGTTATTTAAAAGCCGTACAGTTTTTTGCTGCTTATGCCGAGTCAGGAAAATTCCCTTAAAAGAGCCGTACAATCTGCTTGTCTCTTGCAAGAGAAAAATGCTGCTACCAAGAAACCTTGCTTGTCTCTGTTCTTTTGTTTCTAAAACCCTTTTTTAAGCTTTTGTTAAATTTTAAGTGGAAGTTTTTATTAGCCACATGGGCACCATATGTAAGGAGTATGGTTTTTCCTCCCACCGCCGGTCTTGTCCTGATGCCGTGCCAGCCCCAATTAACACACTGAGACTCTGTAGTTGATATAATTCTGTTGGCCTGTTACTTGTTTCTTATCGGCTAGCTCTGTCTTAATTATTAACCCATTTCTGTTGATCTATGTATTTCCACGTGGCCTCCTTACTGGGGAGTGGGGCAGGCATCTGGTCTCCCCAGTCTCTCCATCTTGACTCCCCTTACTACTTCCTCTCTCCTCCTTGTCTCCTAGTCCCTCCTACCTTGCTTTCCTATTGGCTTTATTCATTAAACAGTGCTTTATTCATTAAACCAGTATGAGAAACATATTTACAGAATCGCATCTCCCATCAATACACAACTTCTTTGAAACTTCCTTTTTCTTCAGCACAGCCTATCTTAGTAAATGGCAGAGGTTTTACCTACTTCCTTTATTTCTTCTTCTCCACATGTACCTGTCTGACAATGTCAACTTCTCTACACTTTCACCACTAAGTCATCCACTGTGCCATTCTCTAACCCAGATCATCAGTATCAATATCCTTCAGGAAAGAGGGAGGCAGTAGTCACCCATCAGCTACTCCACACTGACAGCAAGAGTAAGCTTTCTGCCCTAAAGAATACATGTGTTTAGATCTCTTGTCTCAAAACAACTTAATGATTTGCTTTTACACTCAGAGCCAGAGCTCCTTTATACTGTGTGAAGTCCTCCAACCCATCTTCAATCATATTTCCCAACATTTGTCCTCGTATTAAATTTCTTCTGCATCATGCAAAGTATTCCTTCAAGTACTGGCGATGGCTTCTGGGTTTCCAATGCTACGATTTGGGGATAGTTAGCACTCCATTTCCATCCACCTTTAAGTCTCAGATTACTCCCTTCATCTTGTACCAGCTCCACTAAAGAGTTGGCCCCGATATCAGGACCTCAAAATTTCACTCCAATACAGTCATCACAGTAATTAGTGTTCATTTCACATGATAGCAGTTTTTACCAAACCTTTTCATGACAATATTTCTATCCTAGCACTCACCAAACAGTAGGTGCTCAGTAAATGCTAGTCTGCTAATAACTGATCACCCAAGCAGAAGACTAACAAATAAATCTCTATAGCAATAGTTGTCAACATGTGTGTCATGACCCCTTTGGGGGTCACACAACAGACATTCTGCCTATTTACATTATGATTGTAGCAAAATTAGAGTTATGAAGTAGTACCTAAATAATTTTATGGTTGTGAACCACAACATGAGGGGCTATGTTAAAGGGTCACAGGATTAGGAAGGTTGAAAACTATAGCTCTACAGCATTTCCCATGCCACTTTTAGCCATTTTCTGTAAAGTCTGAATTATATACTTCTCAAGATGTAATTGCTTTGTCCCCAATTTTCACATTCTTGACTTTTTTTTTTTTCATTTTAAATGTGCAGTAAGCTGAAAGAGAATAGTTTTTCTTTTTTCTTTTTTTTCTTTTTATAATTGCGTCTATGTTCCTTGTGCTATTTAAAAATCACCTACTAATTTACTTATTGAGCCACTTCAATGTGCCTATCATTAAATCCTGAGACTGAGCAAATGAATAAAATAGAACAAGTCTGTTTTTAATGAAATTGCATTTTAGCGTGTTCATAGGGTAAGGGGATATCGGGAAGTAAACAAACAACACTATCAGGCAGTATAGCAACCCTACTTTACTTGAGATTTCACTTTTTACGATTTTATGTAGGTTAGGTAAACTATGGTTCAAAACCATTAAGTTAAAACTTATAGAAATACTTGCCAAGTGTGAAATAACTGTGACAATATATTGCTATACTTACACTAACATTAATGTCTTACTGTGTCTATTATAGGAATAGGAAATGCAGAGAATTATATAGAATTATATACTATGCAATTTCGGATTAAATTGAGATCCTCCTATGAGGTATTGTTTCTGTAGTTTCCCAATCAGAAAGCAGTGTACGTGTGTTACTTAGTGAAACTTCGAAAATATTCGCGCAGGAAACAAAAGCAATCAAGAGGACGGGTCTCCTATTACACTTAAGTATACAAGAACAAAAATCTTATTTTCTGCTTTTGCCCAGCGGACTGCAGTGCAAGCTATACACAGTGGGCAAGTACTTCAGCCTTTGAGACTGCATCCTGTCAAAGGACAATAATTAGAATCACCTCGACGTTTTAGGAAAAAACGCTCCACAAAATCCCAATGCAAAACTGGCGCTCTAACTTAATGCAGACCGGATTCGGAGAAAACGCATCCAATCTGGTACCGCTGCCTGACCAGAACTCCACTGATGATTGGTTAAATTCCCGTCCGTCTTGCCACTCTGGGGCGCATTGCCCAATCGCGTTTCATCACTGATACCGTCCCCTGGCCAGATATCCACGGATGATTGGTTAACTTCCCGTCCGTCTTGCCTCTTTGGGGCGTGTAGCCCAATCGCGTTCATCTTTGCGTGGAGCCTGCCCGGGTCTTCCGGTATGACGCGCGCGTCGCGGTGGGCGGAAGTGGCGCCGCTGGTTTGAAATCAGCAGAGCCGGCTCCCGCGGGCCGGAGTGCCATGTCCACCCCTCCGCTGGCGCCCGCCGGCATGGCGCCCGGACCCTTCGGCGGCCCCCAGGCGCAGCAGGCCGCGCGCGAGGTCAACACGGCCACGCTGTGCCGCATCGGGCAGGAGACAGTGCAGGACATCGTGTACCGCACGATGGAGATCTTTCAGCTGCTCAGGAACATGCAGGTGCGCTGGCGCCTGGGGCGAGAGCACTGGTGAATGGGGGCCTCCCCGGGCAACGTCAGGTGGCCGTGTCGCTTTTACACCCCTTGTCCTCAGCATGCGCCTTTTCCTTGCCCTGGGAGATCTCAAGTGGTGTATATTGCTTTTATTATGTCTAGGTATGTTCCTGTTATCCCTGTCTCTACAAGACTGTTATTATGAAGGGGTCTTGGACTTTGTCAAAGGTTTCAGCATCTGGTGAGATGATCATGTGTTTTTTTTTTCCTTTTCAGTTTGTTTATATGGTGGATTACACTAAAAAGATTTTCCTGTGTTGAAACATTTCTGCATCCCTAGGATGAAGCATACTTGGACATGGTGGATGGTTTCTCTGATGTGTTCTTGGATTCCATTTGCTAGTATTGTATTGAGTATTTTTGCATCAATGTTCATGAGAGGTATTGGTTTGTAGTTCTCTTTCTTAGTTGTGCCTTTGTGTGACTTGAGTACTAAGATAATTGTAGCCTCATAAAAAAGAGTTTGGCAATGAACCTTTTGCTTCTATGGTGCGGAACAATTTGAGGAGTACTGGTATTATCTCTTCTTTGAATATCTAGTAGAATTCTGCACTGAAGCCATCTGGCCCTGAGCTTTTTTTGGTTGGGAGACTTTTGATGACTGCTTCTGTTTCATTAGGGGTTATAGCTCTATTTAAATTGCTTATCTCTTCTTGATTTAATTTTGATACCTACTTAGAAAATTGTCCATTTCCATTAAATTGTCAAATTTTGTAGAGTACAGGTTTTCAAAGTATGACATGAGTTATCACTGGATGTCCCCCCCCCCCCTTTTCATTTCAGATTTTGTTAATTTGCATGTTATTTCTGTCTTTTGGTTAGTTTGGATAAAGGTTTGTCTATCTTGTTGATTTTCTTCAAAAACCAGCTCTTTGTTACATTGATTCTTTGTACTTTATTGATTTAAGCCCTCACATTGACTATTTCTTAGTGTCTACTCCTTTGGAGTGAGTTTGCTTCTTTTTGTTCTAGAGCTTTCAGTTGTGCTGGTAATTCTGTAGTGTGACTATTCACCAGTTTCTTCATATGGGTACTTAGTGCTATGAACTTTCCTCTTAGCACTGATTTCAATATATTTCATAAGTTTGGGTATTTTATGTCTTCATTCTTATTAAATTCTAGGAAGTCTATTTCTTTATTTCTTCCTTGACTCAGGAATGATGCAGTTGCGCATTGTTCAATTTCCATGAGTTTGTAGGGTTTCTGCAACTTGTGTTGTTGAATTATAACTTTAAAACATGGTTGTCTGATAAGATACAGGGGGTTATTCCATTTTTTTTTTTTTTTTTTTTTTTTTTTTTTTTGCACCTATTGAGGTTTGCTATATTGCCGAGTATGTGATTGATTTTAGGTTCCATGTGATGCTGAGAAGAAGGTATATATTTTGGGGTTTGGATGGAATGTCCTATAAATGTCTGTTTAACCCAGTTGGGTCATAACTTCTCTTAGTTCCTTTGTTTCTTTGTTAAGTTTCTCTTTTGTGGACTTGTCTAGTGTTGAGAGTGGGGTGTTGAATCTCCCTTTATAAGTGTATGAGGTTTTATGTACAATTTGAGTTTTAGTAGTTTCTTTTATGAATGTGGATGCCTAGATTTTCAGAATTGAAACTCATCTTGATAGATTTCTCATGTGACAAATAAGAAATGACCTTCATCTATTTTGATTGATTTTAGTTTAATGTCTAATTTGTTAGGTATTATGATTGCTATACCCACATTTTTCTTGGGCCCGTTTGATTGGAAAATCTTCACCTAACCCTTAACTCTGAGGTAATGTCTGTCTTTGAAATTTAGGTGTGTTTCTTGTATGCAGCAGAAGAATGGATTCTGTTTTCATATCCATTCTTTTAGCCTGTGTCTTTTTATGGGCAAGTTAAGACTGTTAATATTTGAGGGATATTGTGATCATTGATTGTTAATTCTTGTTTGTTTTGGTGGTGGTGGTATTGTGTGTTGATTTCCCCCCATTCTTTTGGCTGTTGGTAAAATGGGTTTATCTATTGCCTATTGTGGGTATAATTGACTTCCCTGGATTTGAGTTTTTCTTCTAGCACTTTCTGTAGGGCTGGTTAGTTGATATGTATTGTTTAAATTCTGGTATTGTCATGGAATATCTTGGTTCTCCATCTATAGTGATTGAAAGCTTTGCTGGATATAGTAGTCTGGGCTGGCACCTGTGATCTCTTAATGTTGTTAGAACATCTATCCAGGACTTCTGGCCTTTAGAGTTTCCATGGAGAAGTCAGGTGTAATTCTGATAGGTTTTCCTTTATATGCTAGTTGGCCTTTTTCCTTTGCTGCTCTTAAATTCTTTCTTTATTCTGTATGTTTGGTGTTTTGATGTGGCAAGAGGACTTTTATTTTTTTATTTTTGTTTGTTTGTTTGTTTGTTTGTTTATTTTGGTTCATGTAAGTAGTAGGGTTTTTCCTCCCGCCGCCTGGTCTGGCCCCGCTGCCGCGCCAGCCCCAATTAACACACTGAGACTCTGTATTTGATATAATTCTGTTGGCCCGTTACTTGTTTCTTATCGGCTAGCTCTGTCTTAAGTATTAACCCATTTCTGTTAATCTAATATTTCCACGTGGTCTTCTTACCGGGGAAAGGGGCCAGCGTCTCGTCTCCCTGGTCTCTCCATGCTGACCCTTACTACTTCCTCTTTCTTCCTTGTCTCCTAGTCCCTCCTATCTTCCTTTCCTATTAGCCAACAGTGCTGTATTCATTAACGAGTATGAGAAACATATATAGAATGACATCTCCCATCAGGTCCGCACTATGGGGGGTTATGTAAGCTTCTTGTACTTTCAATGTCATGTCTTCGGGCTAGAAAAAGTTTTCTTCTGTGATATTGTTGGATATATTTTGTGCACCTTTGAGCTGGGTTTCTTCACCTTCTTCTATACCTTCTTAGGTTTGGCCTTTTCAGAGTGCCCTCTATTTCCTGGATATTTTGTGTTAGGGATTTGTTGGATTTAAGATTTTCTTTGGTCAATGAATCTTTTTCTCCTAGTGTATCTTCAATGCCTGAGATCTCTTTTCCATTCGGTTGGTTATGCTTACATCTGTAGTTCCTGATCTTTGCCTAACTCTTCTATTTCTAGCATTCCCTCAGACTGTGGTTTTTTGTTGTTGGTTTTTTTTTTTTTTTTTTTTTGGTCTTTATTTCAGCCTTTAAGCCTTGCACTGTTTGAATTGTTTCTTGCAATTTCAGTTTGTCTTTTCCTCTATGTTTTTTAATTGCTTTGGTTGTTTTTTCCTTCCATTTCCTTAATAATCTTAATGAAGTTGCTTTTAGGGTCATTCTCTCCTGCTTTATCTGTATTGGGATATTCAGGTCTTGCTGATGTGGGTCATATTGATCTGTTTGTTGTTGACTGTGTTCTTAAATTATTGTCTACGTGTCCCTTCTTCCAGTGTACACCAGTAGGGTCTCCCCATCTCCTTGTGGGTACGGGACCAAGGTTCTCTTGTGCAAGCTGGTCCAATACTCCAGTGGCCCTCCTCTTCCAGTGGTCAGTGGTGAGACTCCTTTTGCGGATGTAGGTGGGACCAGTAAGCTGGCAGACTTGGGATGGGCAAGTCTGCCAGGGCAGGCTCCCCTGGACCTCGTCCCCATTCCTCAGGAGGCTCTGCCAAGCAGCCAGTTACTTTTCTTGCCTAGTTCCACAATTGTAGGAACAATTTCAAGAAATATTTTTATTTCTGTTACATGGTTAAGGAAACTGAGAGTTAAAGAGAGAATATGTAGGTCACCCACCATCACAGTTGACCCCAGTAACCTCCTGTTACTTCGTTTTTGAGCCTTCTATATTATTAAGAGAGCTAGAACTAAAGTCCATGGCTGGAACAGAACAAGACATTCTGAAGCTCCTGGCTGTAGGTAGGCTTGCATTTCGAACTGATTTATAAGGGCTGGGACACTTACATATCTGCCGTCTACTTTGTCTTCAAGTGCATCTCAAACCTTTTGGGAGATGTTAGGTTACAATGACCCTAAAAGGCAACAACAGTGTGACTCATGAGTTCTAAAGACTCAGAAGTGATGATATAAACACATGTTCTTAACTACGCTGTTTGTTTAACTGTAGGCAGCTTATCCGATTTCTGTTATCCATGCTTCATCGTGAATATTTAAGAGGATATTTTGAGAAAACGAATGCAGCGAGACTGTACCTAGCCTTCATTACAGCATCCTGTGATCATTGTTCTATTTCACTCTTATTAATTTTGTCCTCCATCATATTCTGTATGCAAACCTGTGAACTGGTGCAAACCAATGAACAGGGAAGAACATCATGCCACAGTTTCTGGCATCCACTGGGGAGTGAGCATCTTGCAGGACTCCAGTAGGAGCAACCACCCCATGCTCTTCAGCATATTCAGATTGCAAATCATCTGTATTAGTCCATGAAAGTGAAGCAGCACAAGTACATACTGCTAAAGTTACGATACGTATTTCTTTGAGAAACATTGTTCTTTGTCTATTAGACATTCTTTAGCTGCTCAAGATTATGCAAACTCTAGGCTTTTCTTAGAAGCAAAAATAAGTAAGAACATTTTGAAAAACAAGTTTTCAACATGTTAAAAAGCATCTCCCCTAAAATATCCCTGAATCCCAGATTAAAATCCCCTGTGAAAAATCACATTGCTTTTATTCTGCTTGTTATCCTTTTAATCTTTTAATTTGTATTTTGACTACATAATATATTCATAATTTAGGGATAACAGAACACACTGCAGTGGGCATTCTCCTTTCTATTCCCTGTCTGCTAGGTCTCTAATCCCTCCCTATAAACAGTGGGTTGTTAATGATTCTAGTCACTGGTTCTATTTATCTTCCAAATGCTCTTTGCATATTAATCAGATCTGTGCATATATGTTGTTCCATCCATTCCCTTTGCACAGATAACACTATACTGTGCATACTATTTTGTACTTTGTCTTTTTCGTCTGATCTATTGGGATGTTTTCATATGCATAGAGAAAGTATTCCCTTTCTCCTTTTATACCTTGTAGTATTCCACTGCATGGAAATACTCTAGTGGAGTCAAAGCCAGCATCCCACACAAAGGAGCAGCTGATGAGCTTATAGAAGTAGCTAACGTCTAAAGTACTATAACTCAGTGGGTCATCATGTATTGCCCTCCCAGAGTTGCAGGTACATTCCTGTGTCCTTAGACCATCACAGTGAATGGCTTATGCTTTTAGGTGTTTGATTACTTGATAGATAACCCTCCTACCTTCCATTTGCCCTTATTTAATTGAGTTTGAACTTTTCTTCATATATTTATGAATCGTGTGTTTTATTTTCTGCTATTGCTTATGCCTATTATTTCTCGCTGTCTGTCTTTGTGTGTGGGGGGGGGATTTTTATCTCCCTTGTTCTCTGTAATATATTTGCAGATATTTTCCCCAGTCTTCTTTTTTGTTTCTTCTGTTTGTTTTGATGTTGGGATCTGTGTAGCTGGCCAATGAGACTGTGATGTGCTGCCTTGACTTCCTAAGTGATGAGATGGCGGAATTATGGAACTGAGCCACTGTTTTCATTTTACCTCTTGATTCCGCTTAAGGAAGATTTTTGCCCTGCTTATTATTTTTAATGCACAGTTTATTGAATTTCCAGTTTGTACAATTTATTAACCTTAGAGATTTCATGTCTAGCTAGGAAAGCCTTCCCCACTCTCAAATGAGGAAGAAATATGTGAGTTTTCACTGGAATTTTTACTTTTAAAACTTTGGTCATTGCAAGATTGATTCTGTTATAAAATGGGCTGTACAACACTCACCTTGTTGTACAAATGGTTGATTGAGAACTCACCCCTGTTCTCACTGTTGGTTCGGGCACAGCTTTGTACAAATGTGTCTTGATGGGGATGTTAGAATCTTCCTTTTGCTTCTATCATTGGTACTCTGATGCCTCATTCTCTTAAGTTCTCTGTGTTCCTGGATGTGTTTATATTGCAATTTCAGAGTAAGTGGCCTTCTTTACCTTCACACATGCATCTTAGACCTAGACCTAGAAAAACAAGAAAAACCTGTTAGTGGTTTTATTAGTTTTTTCAGCCTGAAAAATCTTGACACTGTTGAGTCTTAGTAATCTTAGAATGTCTTTTTCTTGTTTTGCGTTTGAAATTTTGTTTTTATCTTTTGTTATTCCTAGATATTTTCTTCTTCCTTCCTTTCTCCCTCCCTCTCTCCATTCCTTCCTCTCTCCCTCCTTCCCTCTCTTCCTTCTTTCTTTCCTTTCCCTTTCTTCCGTTCTTCCTTCCTTTTTTTCTTTCTTTCTTTCTTTCTTTCTTTCTTTCTTTCTTTCTTCCTTTCTTCCTGTTGTACTGGTCCTTGCCTTTCCATTTTCTTTTTAGAGATGAAGGCAAAGCTATTACTTTCTCTCTATTAGCTTTATACCTAACTCCTTGTGGAATTCTTTTACCATTGGTGGCTTTTGTGATGTCATTTTGAAACAGTGACCACTGTACTGCTTCCTTTTCAATGTTTCAGCCTTTCTCTCTTCCATAATCACCCTGGCCAGCTTGTCTGCAACACAACAGTAATAGTGGTCTGACTGTGTTTTTCTGTTCCTGGCTTTAGTAGGAATCCCTCCAATGCCTACACATCCATCATGATGCTGACTTTATAACCTAAATATGGTTTTCATATACGCGGAATTTTATTATAAGAATAGATGGTGAATTTAGTTGAATGCCTTTTTAGTATCTGGGAGTGTGATATGTTTATAAGTTTTCATTCATATTCATGAGGGAGATGGTTATTGATGAGCTTTCCAGCTGAGTAGCTACACCACAGCATGCAGCAAGGGATCCTAGGTGCTATTACCATACATTCTGTAGAGTGTGGAGGCCTCATCACTCATTTTCACTGTCGTTCTTCACGTCCAGAGCAATGCTTGACACACGAAAGGTGAGCAATAAGCTGATGTTGTATAAAAAATAATATCCAAACTTACTAAGCTGGCAGATTTCAGGGGGATAATTCTTTGCATTTCAACAAGATTGCTTTTCTTCATAATAAGAGTCATCAATCTTTCTGTGGATGACATGTACTTCTCTTGAACACGTAAACATAGAGTTAGGGGTAAAATGCTCATGAAAATTATTCAGACCATACACTAAAACTCTTCGCTAAAAATATGCTACAAAGAGGAGTTGTAGTTTTTACTAAGTGGGGCATATAGGCAAAGTAGCCAATCTGGTGAGATGCCAGGATTCAAAAGTCCATTGCTTCTCTAAGTGAGATGTAATAGCCATGCCCTGATCATTCAGACAAGAAGCTTGGGTCATTTAATGTCTCTCTGCATTGTTGATACCTGTTAACATCTATAAAAAGAGTTCTTAGGGAAAGTCCTACACTGTATGGAAGGATGGACCCTTCTGATGGCATCTTATTTGAAAATGTGAGCAAAAGCACCCTTGGTATTTTACCACACTTCACAGAGACATTTTAAAACGTATTAATGCTGAGGATTCCTGACACTAGAAATAATTCAGAAATTTCAAAAGATCTGTCGACACTGTAACATTTACAAAAGGGCTGTGCGAATGAGAAACAACTTATTCAAACCTACCCAAATTCCATTTAGCTGTGACATTCTCATTATTTCAGTGAATACTTTTTTGGAAAAAGTATGTTATTAATTAATTAGCCTTGATAGTTTTACCCTTGGCAGATGTAGCTCGGGCCGTGTGAGGGGCTGCTAACGCTGTACCCGGGCCGTGTGAGGGGCTGCTAGCGCTGTACCCTGAGCTGTACCCCTGCCCGGGCCGTGTGAGGGGCTGCTAACGCTGTACCCCTGCCCGGGCCATGTGAGGGGCTGCTAACGCTGTACTCCTGCCCGGGCCATGTGAGGGGCTGCTAGTGCTGTACCCTGAGCTGTACCCCTGCCCCTTGCCTTTCACTTTTTGTTTTGAAACATAGTCTCATTACATTTCCCTAAGCTAGCCTTGAATTCCCATCCTGTAACAAGTCAGTCTTGAACATGTTAGCCTCCTGAGAGGGCTTACAGATCTACACTACCAGGCCTGGATGATAAGATTCTTAAATGAAGAAAATTTGATGACTTGGAACAGATATGATAATAGTAATTTGTAAAGATTTATGAATAATGTTTGGGTACACATTGACTTGTACTCATATCTTCTATTAAGATTTTTTTTTCAGTGAACTTTGGTAGTTTATGTTTTATTTTGTACTTTGCACATCTTACTCTGTTGATCATAAGAGTTAATTAAGATATTTTGAAAGTGGTTTGCAGATAAGAGAGCACACTATTCTATTTCTGCAAAACAAAACCCTAAGCTTTGCATATATATATATATATATGTATGTATGTGTGTGTGTATATATATATATACACAAACACACACACGTGTGTGTTTGTATAATGTATGTGTATGTATAATACATATGTATATGTTGTATATGTATATATGTCTATATCTATGTAGATATATATTTAAAATTCCTGGGCAAGTTCAGCAGCTTGCTGCTTTTATGTGATAGTGATATTAAAATCATATATTTCTAATATTAAAGGGCAAAGGCATTTCAGCTCATTAGCTGCCTCTTCACAAAGCCTTTTCTAAGACTTTTTTTATTGCAGTGAAACACTGTACCAGGTTGCTAATAGATTGGTATAAGGATTACTTTTAAAACTTCAATCTTTTTATTCTTTTCTTTTGCCTGCAAAGCTGCCAAATGGCGTTACCTACCATACTGGAACTTACCAAGACCGGTTAACAAAGCTACAGGACCATCTTCGCCAACTTTCTATTCTCTTCAGGAAGCTAAGATTGGTCTATGACAAATGTAATGAGAACTGTGGTGGAATGGACCCCATTCCTGTTGAAGTAAGTTTCTATAATAGGAGTATGCATGTCAGAAGTGAAGGAAGGTGGATACATGGATAATTTTTTTCTTTCTCCTTTCAGCAATAGTCCCCCTTTTTAATATTATTTGTTTTACTTCTGAGAAGAGATAAGAATGTGAATATGTGTGTTTATTTTTCATTAATGATTTTTGTAGCATTTGTTTTCTGGCCTTGCAGTGTTATTTTTGTGTTTATTTATGTATTTGTTGGGATTTTAGTGACAGTGATCTCTTTTAGTAGTCTTAGAAGAAATATTTAGTTATTAGTGGCAATTTTCACCAATTCTGAGGAAAGTTGTATCTGAATAGAACTTGATCGAAGCGGTCATGGCTAGAAGTCAGAACACAGTTAAGATGAAAAACAGGAAGTAATGAGCTGAAGCCAGCAGTTGGTGATCAGTCTGTGAAGAAACATAGACTCAAAGCGAGAGTAAAGCCACCATGGGGAGGAGGTGTGGAGGCAAAGGTTGACTCATTGTCTTCTGTCACCAAATGCAAGGAAGCAAAGAATCTGAAAATGATAAAGGAGGCAAAGTCTATGGAGGGGAATAAACAGAAGACAGGGGAGGCAGTGGAGGCTGGAGGTTGTCTTCAGACTCTTCTGCGGCAAGAGAGGACAGAGGTGCTTGTCCATGAAGTCAGTTAAATGGGGCCCAAGAATACAAAACCTTTACCAGGTGGATCTTTCTTTGACTGTTTCTTCATGACAATTTACCATGGTAGAGACTGGCTGGTCCCTGATGTCAGCCACATTTACAAGGAAGGGGTTTCCTTCAGTGACCATCATTATGGGCCACACATAATTAAGTGTATTTTTGCTAGAAACATTGTTGCTCTTTAAAAAAAAAAACAAAAAAAAAAAAAAACAAAACTCACACCTAAAAGAAATTAAGACAAACAAAAAGTCTTGCAGCTTCTGGAGTCTGAGTGTCAAGGTGGTGATGTTTGCATCACACATGTCCTCGAAGATCCTTTCTTGTCATGTAAAGGAAAGCCTATCTTACTTTGATAGACTGAATATGTCAGGGTAGCAGCCACATCTTACTTGACATTAATCTTTTAGTATTTCAGCCAGCATCTAGCAATTACATATTTGCAGACTGAATGAGTAGAGTATAAGTTAATACCAGTAGTTCTTTGAGTAGAGAATGAGCTTTGTTATTATCGTTGTTTTCAGTTAAACACAATGAACCTTATAGAGAAACCAAGGTCTTCTGCTGGTTAATCTTTTAATTTTTGAAATTAAAATAAAATTATATCATCTTCCCCTTTCCTTTTTCTTCCTCCAGTCTTTCCCGTGTACCATCCCCCAAATCCCACACTCCCTCTCAAATCCATGACTTTGTATGTATGATGTTTTTCAAAAGAAAGCTGAACTCTGGCTCACAGAATACACTGAAATGAGAACCTTTTAGAGCTGTTGATTCAGGTCTTTGCCTGAAAATAATTTAATTTTAAAGCATTAAAACTCTTTAGGAAATGGATCCTAAGCCGGTTCAGTCTCTGTAAGTAGTCTAATTCACATATTTGGATCCCATTTTGTACTTCTTTTTGTCCTTTCCAGCAACTTATTCCATACGTGGATGAAGATAGTTCTAAGAATGATGACCGGGCTGGCCCACCTCGTTTTGCAAGTGAAGAGAGACGAGAAATTGCAGAAGTAAATAAAGTGAGTGATTAGCCTGCACATTTTTAATTTCAGAGTCCTTGATTAAAAGTCATTTGGGAACCTAGTGTAACTATTAAACATAATTTGGGTTTTGGAATTTCCTGGAGCTGCTGTGAAGAGTTGGGGAAGATCATGGATTTCACTGAGTCACAGCCCTCAGAACCCAACAATCACAGCCCATTCACTTCTTCAAGCTAAACTCTGCCTTTTCACATGACAGAAAATGATGAAAACTTCCTAACAGGAGATGTGACTGCCCAGCCTGTGACTGAGAAATCCCAGAACTTTGGCATCATTCTCCTGCCTCCACTCTATAAAAGTTCTCATGGAGAAGCAACTATTAAGTGTCAGATAGTTCTCCTGGAACAGTAGACAAAGCTGGGAGTTCATTCCGTGGTGGAGATGTGGCCTCACCCACCAAACGCTAACTACCAGCCTCACTCTTCCATCCACAATCCCAGGTCACCCTGACAGTCTTCATTTTGCTTGATAGACTACACCAGTGTGTTAACAGTCTACTCTAGCTAAATGGCCTTCTCAGCTGTATGGAGGTAATTTAGTTCATATATTATAATACAGACTGTCAGTTACCTTGGAAAGCATTGTCCTTGGGTGGCTAAAAGGCATTCAGTATACTCCAGTCCACTTGTGCTGGCTCAGGGCTTGAGTCAAGAACAGTTCTCTTCTTAATTTTTATTGTTCATAAATAGCCAGAGTTTTTATATAAGTAGAGTATAAAAATATTCCCATTTAAACTGTCATATAGTAAAATCCACCACTGTGCTAAATATTGTTGTAGAGGTTATAACCAGTTCAAAAAGACAGCACACAAAGTGCTCAAACATAGTTATTTACACACTTGTTAGCATGTTCAGAAAAGTTCACCTGATAAACAGGTATAGTCTATAAGAAGTTCTATAAAAGAAGGGATAATTAATGCCAGACAGACTGAAACCGTCCGCTCATAATGCTGTTAGCCACTGTAGCTCTCTTTGAAGTTGAATCAAGATGTACTAAGTGGATAGGAATTGCAACAGTGACTAGCCTGTTAAGATACATAAAGTAATGGAGTTCTTAATTGGTCTAAAAAAAAAAAAAAAAAAAAAAAAACCCAGAGCCAGATATAGAGAAAAATAATGCTGAGAGATCAGAGAGAAGGAGCAAGCCACAGCCACACCTTATCTCCCAGCATCTCAGGACAGGAGAGAGCAAGCTCCTTTTCTCCCTGTTTGTATCCTGCTTCCTCCCAGTTATCTCATTTCCTGTTTCTTCCCGGCAGCCATCTCACTTCCTGTCTGTCTGTATGACCTCTATGGTTAGCTAGTGGCAAGCTCCATTCTCTGACTTTCAGACAGGCTTTATTTGTACAAGCAAGATATCACCACAAATAATTAAAAGAACATATAAAGGCCTTGGGAGAGCAATAAATGTTATAAAAGTGCCAGTCTTAATTACTTCATAATTTCGTGCAGAATAATCCTAATCCAAATAAGATTTAACTTGAAAGCATGCAAAAATATTGGACGCTTTTAATACAATACTAGGCCACAAAAACAAGTGAAACCAAAATGAGATCTTCTTCTGAAAATGTATAAAAATATATTTTAAAAATCCAATAAATAAGATTAACAATACAGATGCTTCAAAAATTAAAATTAATATGAGGCATATTATAAAGTTATAAATAAGCATGCAATGCTGGCTCAGGAAGAGACAGAGTAATAAAATAATAGCCAGAAAGTCTATTTTCTGATGAATATGAGAATTTAATATGATAGGAAAGGGATTAAGTAGAAAATTAATCTTTAGAAATAGAAAGTTGGCAGGGAGATTAACTTTTACAGTACTGCATGTTAAAATGAATTTCAGGGTTAAATATATCTAAAAGAAACAAACTATTAGAAAACATAATGAGGACAAATATACTTTAAAATCAAGGAAAAAGAAAAAAAGGGACTTAGATTTAAATCCTGTAATTTAGGAATGTATTACTGCAACTCGATATTGTATGTTCTGTTGCTACTCATGAGAGACCTGCCCTTCCTAAACAGAAATGGAGGAGTAGATTGGGGGTCGGGGGGAGGGAGGGTGGGCAACAAAGTGGGTGTGGGGAGGGACTGGGAGGAGAGGAGGGAGGGGAAACTTTGTAGCTGGGATGTAACATAAATTAATTTTTAAAAAGGATAAATAGTTTAACAACTTTTTAAACATATGACACTCACACACACATATTCACACAAAGAAAACAGCCACCAAAAGCATGGAGTTGGGTTTGCATTGGACAACTAATCTTGAGCATAAGGCCTACCCTGTAGTGTAATTGATATACTCGGCCATCCCACTGAAGAAAACTGATTTTCCCTCTCCCAGTGGCTGTCATTTACAAAGAGATGCTTGGCCAGGGATAGGGATTTGTACCCACTTCCCATCCTATGGTCTGGGGTTCTAGATGTGCATGGACGCACATGATTTCTGTGTAGGTGACAGGGATCCAAACTAAGGTCTGCATTCTTACATAGCAGACACTTCCCCTGTGTAATCTCCCCAGCCCCTGTATTTTGAGCACCAGAGAATGGTGTTGACTGGAGGCCAGAGATAGAGATAGAAATAGAAGGGGATGCAGGCTAAGATTTGGCTAACTTAAACTTCAAACCAGTGTGGTGAAGAGAATAAAATTCACTGCTTAAAACAAACAAACAAAAACAAATACCAAGTAGATTGGTAGGCTAGCGATGACAACTTGAGGGGGTGGGTTCTCTCCATGGTGTGGCTCAGGGATCAAATCTAATTTCATGGTTGCAATAATGAAACAAACATTTAATTGGTTTCACTTGTAAAGGATATATATATATATATATATATATATATATATATATATATGTGAGATACTTGTCTCCCCCATGTCTTATATTAAAGCACAAATTCTTAATGCAAATAGATATTTTCTCTTTTTCCCATCAGTTCTATAAGTAGTAGGGACTACCTTAATGTATCAGTCAGCTTTCTGTTACTGTAATAAATACCTGAGACAAATTAGCATAAACAGAGGTGAAGTCTGTTTTGCTTACGATGTAGGGGGTTTAGTCCATTGTTAATTGACCCTGTTGCCCTGGACCTATTGTGACCTACGATATCATGACAGGAAAGTGTTTAAAATCTTTACAAATAAAACCAGTGATCCTTTTGTTTTATTGTAGAAGCCATGTGATTAGATGTATATATCTATAAAGGATTTATATTTTTACAGGCAGCTATTTAGGACATTGCATATACATATAAATATCAACAAATAAATTTACACATACATCTGTTTGACATCAGACCATGAGAAATCAGTATATAAATACTTTCAAGGTTGACAAGATAGCCCAGCAGGTAATGGCACCAGCCGCCAGATCCAAGGACCTGAATTGTAAATACATTTTCATGACATGACATAAGATTTAATGTACATTACAAAAGAGAAAGAGCCTTATAATCCTTTGGCTGCTAGTGATCTAGACCCTCCCACCAGGCTCCGTCTCCAGAACTTCCACCACCCTCCAAGAGCTAGGACCAAGCTTTTAGCACCACACCCTGGCAGGTGCTTACCTGAACCTTAGCAGCAGAGCATGCAAAATGTGTCTTACCTATTTTGATAGATAATATGGAATATGAAAATGAATACTTTAAAATAATAGCCATATCTAGTGTAATGCTAAAGGGCAACATGAAACAGTAGCAACAGCAAAAGAAAGAAGAGTTTTGAAATTATTGCCAAGGATTTTAGTTTTCTGTCTCTGGGGGTTTTGTAAGTTTTCTGTTGGACTTGTTTTTAACCTTTCTTTTTAATATTCAAATATCTGAGCACCTGCTGTAAGCCAAGTGTGGCAGACTGCTTAAAGTCCTGCCGCATAGTAGTAACCCAGTGTTTGGTCTGCTCTCCTGTGCTTGGTGGACAGGTAAATGGGGACTTTAAGATCCCGAACCTCTGGAGGAAGCAGTAGCCAGGGCCCTGGCAAGGTTAGGGGGCATATTTACAGAAAGAAGACCATTGTGCCATATTTTAATACACTGGTGCTCCATGGATCTGTATAGTCAGTAATGAAATTTCCTTAAAAATATATCTAGAACTTTATTTTTAACTCATGGTCTTTATTCTGAATGAACAAAGTAGTAGGCTTAAACTTCCGGTTTTGCTCTGGCTGGTCATTTTCATACATCTCCTCATGTAGCTGAGATTGCCGAGCAGGCTGACTTTGGCATCCGCTACCTGTTTCATTGTCATGCTTGAGCCATGCACTTTGTCCTCGGTATTTGATGGAAATCCATAAGGGAAATTAATGGTTGCAATCATCAGGTTTTGCTGTATCTTATTTGCTGTTTGCATCTTGTTTTTGGGAGCCTTAAGCCTTCTTTTCCCTGTACAGGAGGAACTCTTGTTTCAGACTGTCTGCTTTGGTAGCCTCAGAACTTAGTTTTATATTATCTAGCAATGTTCTGTTGATAGGAAGTAAGATTGAAAGATGTACTTGGGAGTATGGAAAGATTGACATGTAATCGAGTCCTAGCATTTGGAATTAAAGCATTTTTTTCTCAAGTGTCACAGCTTTTATATGAATATTAAATTACATGGTATGACTTAGCATAAACATCCTTTGTAAGTATCCACTCTACTTACACGTTCACCTGTTAATGGAACAAATTATGCACAGCTGATGGGTTTTGAAAATAGCAGCTGTCAGCCCCTGTTAAAATCAATCAGTGGCAAGATTGTATACATTAAATCTTATGTCGTGTCATGAAAATGTATTTACAATTTAACCGCTAATAAGCATGACTGTCACTGTTGTTGACAGTCGCTTGGTGTGCTTTGACTCTAGATAGTTTACCTGGGTGATACTTTGTCCTTAAAACTTTGTCTTTTTTGAGTAAAACTACTCAAATACTTTGTTTTACACTTAAAAAAAAAAAAAAAACAAACAAAAAGTATTGCTCAGATCTTGGTGTTAGTTTATAAATACCATCTGTTCTTTGGGACACTTTAGTTTTATAAACTAATAAGAGCAGCATATCAGAACCTATATTTGCAATTAAATGTTCTTGAATACAGTCTTAGTCTTAGGGCGAGGCTTCACATTTACCCAGTGATGGCACCATCCAGGGTGCCCTGTACAATCTCAATTTACCCAGTGATAGTACTTTCCAGGGTGCCCAATACAAATGCATTTTGGATACTATTTATAATAAAGTCTGTTTTTAACTACCCAAGAACATGATTTTATTTCTTCTAGTTGCTCCCAATTTTTTATTGACAATGTGAAGGCTGGGCTAGTCCATCTGGCTTAGGTTGAGGTAGGTCTTGGCTGTCTCAAAAACTCAGTCTACACTCCAGCCCCCTTTGTCATCTCGTATGCAGTTAGAGTTTGCATTTCATTTTAAGTGTATTTTTTTGCCCTCCAAGACTGTTACTGGTCTTCATTACCCATCATCTCAGGCTAGTCCTTTCGCGCTTTTGCTCACCACCAACTTGTAGAGATCCCAGGCTGGTAGACTTTTCGGTTTGCTGACCTTTTCTATCAGAGGCAAGATCTGCCCTGGAAATCTCTGTAACTATGCTTTACATAGTTACAGGATATTGTCTGGTTGTTCTTTCCTTGTACCTGATGCTGAGGTCCTGAGACTTCTCAGAGTGATCATATTCCAGATGCATTAAAACTCACTAGTTCAAATTGTTATTGTGATTTTTGTTTTTAATAAAGGGTCCCGCAATGTAGCTCTGGCTGGTGTTGAACTCACTATGTAACTCAAGCTGATCTCAGACATGGAACAAACATCCTGCTTCAGCATCTCAGATGTTGAGAATGCAGATGTGAACAACCATGCCCCACTTTTAAAATTAGATTTAAAAAAATATGTCAACTCATATTCCTGTTCATCCTTTTATTCTTGCTCAATAGCTGTTTTACATAGCTCTTAAAAAGCTGAAAGGGAAAGCATGGTAGCCATTGCTTCACAGCTAGAAGTGATGATTCATTGATGTGCTACGGACATGCTCATCCATAAAGAACACCATGAAGCCACGCATCATTTCACTAACTCAAACTCAATACTTCCCAGTTACAAGTCTGCATAGCTGGTTATCACTTCCTATGTGGGCACTCAGAAAGAGTAACTGACAGGACCTTCAGTTTCAGCCCATTCATGTGTGAAAAATGAGGGAGAAATCCAGTCTGATATCAGATAGCAGGCTACAAAGGTGAAGGCTGTGGCTGAGATTGCCAGCCTACCAATATAATACCCCTGTTGGTGTTTGTCAAGGAAGATTGCCCCTGTCTTGGCCAGTGCAATAAGAAAGTACATCCTCCTCTGCCCTAGAATTAGACAGTACACACACTACTTTACTACACACGTAGTCATGTGAGATGGGTCATCTGAAAACCTAGTCACAGAGACTCAATATGTCAGTGCTCTTTCCCTGCGACCCTGTCAAGCCCTGAGTGAGATCCTGTCAAGGCCTGTATGCTATGCAGTCAGACGTTTCATCTGCGTCTTGTGCTATCCTATTTTCAAACATGAATTTAATTTAATAAGTATTATTAGTAGCATCAAAGTGTCTGTAATTGCTTCTCTGCTTCCTAGTGAAAGTGTTTAATGTCCCCTTTAGTGACCTTCTTCTAGTTTGTGACTTCTGAGTCTAGAAACAAGCAATAAAAGCAGTTCGCTTAATCTCAGCTTGCTTTTTAATGAAGTAATAATGCTTTAGACCTCTTCCTAGTGTACATATAATAGTTTACCTGAAGGCAATTAAATAGCATATTTTTAAAACAATCTAATTAAAATATTATATCTTTGAATTTAATGTTTCCCACGTGTTAATAAATAAGTGTTATTATTCTAACTGGAAAGGATGCTAAGCAGAATCTGTGTTTGTACCACATGTTATCTAAGCTGATATTTATCACATAGAACTTGAAGAAAGGATTCTTAAGGTATGATTGAAGCATAGTCTAGTAGAGCCCAAGAAAACAGATGCAGGGACATGGGCAAGGCATTCATGAACCTTACTGTGGGGTCTTCCTTGTCACTAGGCCACTCTCTTTTCATTTCTAGATTAGAAGAAGACTGCGCTTCATCTTAAGATAGTAACTTCAGCTACATTTCCAGAAGACTGATTTTGCACCACCCCTTGTATCGTGTTTTTTATATTAACAGCTTACTTTCTGTGCTTATCATAACTTGTCAAATGCTTGCTTCTATGTCAGGCAACTGTAATATTTTAGGAAAATCGAACATTTGATTCTTTCATAAACTCTTTTGAGGTAGAGTAAGTGATTACCTTCCTCCTTCAACAGTGTGGCCTGTGTCCTCCATGTATAATTGCTACAGAGCCGAACATTTGATCAACCAGAACATCTGGATGGAAAGTGTAGTGTTACTGTTGTGTTCCACTGCCCTTACATCTAAGTACTAGATTTATCACAATTAAATGTGTGACATAGTATATGATAGAATGTGGCCAAGGAGCAGATGCCTCTGTGGCATCAAAATGTGAACTGTCAGCCACTGCTCCAGCTCCATATCTGATCCCTGCTCCCCTGCTCCTTGCCATGATGGTCATGCTACCTTCTCGCCATGGTAGTCACTGACCCTGAGCTAGTCATGGATTCTGAGCCCCGGGAACTGTTAGCCCTGGGTAAACTCTTCTATAAGTTACCTTGGTCATGGTGTCTTATCACAGCAGTAGAAAAGTAACTAAAACAGAGCTTTTGTTTGGCAGGAGTATTTGGGTTAGCTTCTGTCTGGATCAGTAGGGTCCTAATTTACTACAGATTAGTCTTTGCACATCATTGTCTGTATATTTACTTCACATTTCTGGTAAATCCTTTTGTTTTCACAGAAACTCAAACAGAAGAATCAACAGCTGAAGCAGATTATGGATCAATTACGGAATCTCATCTGGGACATAAATGCCATGTTGGCAATGAGGAACTAAACTGATATGGAAATCTCTTGGATTTCTTTCCCCTCCAAGTATTTTTCCTTTGAAAAAGATTATTTATCTCTTTATGTTAATGGCTAGTACTAACGTTCCTGTTTTCACTTTAAAGCAGTCACTGACTTTTTTTTTTTTTTTTGTGTGTGTGTGTGTGTGCTCTTGGTTCTGTAAAGATTATAATAGCCTTCGATGGGGTGTGAGTTTTAGTTAATCTTCACGAATTGAATAATTGCTTTTTAAAAGCAAAATGAAGTTTAATAAATAAATTTTTAAACATAAACAGTGTTTTTGCTTGTTTTAGTTATCCTTTTCAAAGAGAGGTAAAGTATAAATATTTTACCATATTAAAATACCAGCCAAAGTTTATCTGCAAAAGAAATTGATTAAAATTAAAAATGTATTAGCACCTAAGCTCCTTTCTTAATTCTGTTTTTTTTCAAACCAGTTAAAACAAGAAAATAGTTTGTTGCTTAATTACCTTTATTGTGTTCTTCAAGTGTTTTTCTGAATTAAAATGAGAGGTGATTTGAAGAAAATACAAGTAGGTGGGTCACAGATATGTGCTTAGCTGCAACCTGCCTTGGGCCCAGTAACAGGGACCTGCCTGTCAGAGACATCCTAATCCCGAGTATGTTTCAGAACACTGCACTTGTAAGAGTTCGAATCTAGACTATTCTTAGAACACTGGTTCTCAACCTTCCTAATGCTTGAACATTTAGATTAGTCACTCATCATGTGGTGACCCCCAACCATACAACTAGTTTTGTTGCTACTTCATAACTGTAATTTTGTTACTGTTATGAATCATAAATGTTTGGTATGCGGATGCTCTTAGGTGACCTCTGTGAAGGGTGGTTTGACCCTTCCTCCTAGGGGTCTCGACCCAAAGGTTGAGAATCACTGTTTTAGGCCAATTACATTTCCAGTCTATAGGTCTGGCTGTGGTGGGCATTCCAGTCTCAGTCACAAGCTCTTACCTGACCTGACTTGACTGTGACAATCCTACATTTGACTCTTGCTTGTGGATAGAGTTTCTCCAAAAGGTTACATAAGAAACTAGTCACCGGCTTCCTCTGGGAAAGGGAACAAGGGTGGTTGGCATTCAGAGTTCAGAAGGGCCTGACCTTCCATTGTCTACAGTTTTGCACCTCCTGAATGTTACTGCCTGTGCAGATAATACCTGATCAAAACTGTACATTTCACCCAATCATGCAGATTGCCACTAGTAGCATGTGAGAGAGTACAATCAAGTCCGCTGTTGGTGGGAACCGTAGGGGAAGCTCTGTGTATTTGCAGGGCCAAAGCAACTGCATGAAACAGACACAGAAGAATGTAGACCAAAAGTCTAGCTTGGTGTGGTGCTCCACATGACCTGAGGATGCTACAGTTTGTTTAGACACACTCGGGATTTCTGTAGATTTTCATATGCAGCATGGTCTGTATGTCATTTGTCACTGTGACATTGTGGCTGTAGTATACTACAATACAATGAGGCGTGCATGCATAGCAAATAGTATAGTGTTAACCTGAGCTCCGCTTGGCTTAGACTAAACATACCTCTTTGAACAAAACAATTGGCAGTCTAAGAGCATACCTATACATGTGTCTGAATAATTCACCCTGGCAACCTGTTAGCAACATAGGATCCCTACTTGCATCGGGTTACATACACACCCTCTCTGAATAATGGAATAAGTTTTCCTTCCCTTTAATGACCATGAAACTTGAATTATTTGGTTATACCAGAAGGTGGAGGGGGCTAGATGTGGCTTAGACTAGGAAGGCCTAAAACAGTCAAATAATCAGGCTCTTGGGTGTCTTCACTCTCGGTGTATTCTGGCATATTCTGTCACTTCCCTTTGATTAAACTTTACTTGCTACTTTTCCCGTCTGTGTGGAATTTTTATTTCGTCCTTGAATAAGATGCCAAGAGCTAGGAAATACATGGCTCACACTGACCACTGGTAATAATGACACTTATTAATTTAGTTTTTCATTCCTGACGAAAGTTATGGTAGTAAAACATTTTAATTTAGGGTTCAGGTGTTTTAAGTATCCTCCTCAGCCACTTAAATCATTAGATCCTTCACGGTGCCACAATCCCAGTTCTTGGAAGGAAGGCAGAAACTGCATGCTTTGGGCTTTGAATATATGTAGGATATGTCTGGTGGAACACAAACAGTATGGTTACACTGCTGTGGACCTGTAGCCCCAAGTTCTGGGCAGCCGCGCATGCTCTATCAGAACTGGGGCTACTCATTCACAAGTGTCCATATGATCTATTTTGAGTGTGGTGGGGCTTTTGAATGCAGACCTCGATAGCTCTCTAGTTCTGCCTTTTCAAGAGATAACATACCAGCAGATTAAAATGCAAAGAAAGGGACTTTACTGTAATATATGTCCCTAGGCAAGATAAACTGTTCTCTCACCTGTGAAATGGTGTATGAGATTGATATTATACTCTAGGTTAGAAATACAGGTTAATTCAACAAAAGGGATTTACTAGTTCCTACACACACACACACACACACACACACACACACACACACACACACACACACACACAAATGCATTAACTAAAGCATCAAGAATTACAGACCAAATCTGATGCCTCCAAAATTTCTTGGTTCACCCTAATTCTTACTTAGGTCTGCTCCATTTTCTTTTGGTCAAGACAAGGCTCCTCCAAATGGTGGGATCAATGCTACTCTATGGTCTGGCCATCATTTCTGTATCCTGACCATAAAAGTTGTGAGGTGTATTCACTCCTAAGCTAAAAATTCTCACAGTAGACTCTACCCTTAGGTAATAAAAAACCAGCAAATAAATTTGTTGTGTACAGTTGAACTAACCCATGTTATAAATCTGTCTGTAGCCAGAACTTGGGTGTGGATGTTATAGAAAAGCACTCTCCCCAGGGAACAAGGATTACAGAAGAAAGGAAGACCAAATGAGAACATTTTGAAGAAAAAGAAACAGTGGTAACTACGGGGAGTGGTGGTCTTCCTTCATTGTTACACCATTTCACACACAATCAAGGTTCTTTAACCTTCAAAACTCCCAGAACATTTTCAGAAAGGCACATGCATCCTGCACCACCATGGAGAAATGTATCTTTTTTAAGTTTGTACTTCTGTACTAGAGTTTTTCTCTGCAGCTGTTTTCCTTGCAGCTGTTTCGGTTCATTACAATGTGAACTTGTCAGGTCTCTCTTCGATGGGTTAAAGCTCAGATAGATAGGACAGAGTTAAAAACAAAACAAAAATCCTGAAAGCTCCAGCATACTGGTAAGTGCATTATCTTTAAATGACTTGGCATCTCCGGTCTTGATCATTCAGACATACAACCCATGGCACTGGTACAAGCCAAAATGTGTTAATTTGACATTCTGATAAAGTTCCAGCTTGAATGATTCATTTTCTTTCCCTAAATTCCCACTGAGGCATATGCTAGACAGGGGATTTTTAGCTTTAGACTAAAATGTGTGCTTATCCTAAAGCCTCAATGTGTAAGTTACCCTAGGCATCCTTAAGTTGCTTTAATATGATGGATGCTTTAAATTTTTTGGCTAATCCTCTAAACACAGAAGTGTCAAGGGTTATTTTTTTTTTTTTTTAAAGAAACTGAAAAAAATTCTCAGAGGATTTTTTTATTGTTAACACAAAAACGTTGAATTCATTTGTCACTTTTTAAACTAAAGAAGTAAAGTTATTAGGTTCATGGAGTACTTTGTTAATTCATGTTTTATACAGATTGGCATTATAGAATGTTGTAAGTGACTCATTCTTTCCCCCTCAAAGTCTTCAGACAAAATGTGTTGTATATTCAAATAATTACTATAAAACTATCAAAGATAAAATAAGCCTGTATTTTCTCTGAAATCTAAAGTGTATATTAATCTTCTAGCAATTAGAACTCAAAACCATGGAGTAGTGTGCCCTTAGTGAGACCTACTTGAACCTGTTTTCATGTTCTTATTAGGTGTGCTTTTGAAGCAGCATACAAGTACACACACGAATCTCTGGCATGGTACTTTTTAATATGCAAGTTTTTTGATTTATCACAAATGTACTGAGTCAGAAGCTAAAGTGGACTTCTAAAAATCTGCACATTTGACAAGTTTTCCAGGTGACCTGCCACTGGGGCCGAACAATATTCTAAGCAGTTTACTGAAAAGTGTTGCAAGAATTTTTTACAAAACCAGTAGTCGTGGTATAAAATAAAATGGATGAGACCATATTTGGAGTTCTGGCTCTGATTGTGTCCTGTTCTATCAGCACTTCTCACCCTCAAGCACACTTTAGGACCCACTGGGGAGTGTTAAAATTCTCTATGCCAAAGCCACATTGCAGACCAATTAAATCAGAAATCTGGGTGGGATCCAGATTCAATGGGTTTTCCAGTTCCTCTGGTGATGTCCATATGAAGCCAGAGTAAGTGACATTGCTATTTCTAGGTTTGTAGGCATAGAAAGACTCTTGAGGGATCACCTCGTGTTTGGAGCAAAGAACTCTGAGGGGACAGAAATCTGAAACTCACTTATGCATCCAAGTGTCTGTTTTTGCTTTAAATTCTTATTTTTATGTGTGTGTGGTATTTTGCCTGCACTAATGTCTATGCACCATGTGTGTGCCTGGTGTCCCACTGAGGCCAGAAGAGGGCATAGGGTCCCCTGAGAGACTGGAGTTTACAAGCAGTTATTTGCTATCATGTTGGTTCCAGGGATCCACTGGAAAAGCAGCCAGTGCTCTTAACTGCTGAGCCCTATCTCCAGCTGGACAAGTTGTTAATGGTACTCTTGCCATCCACACTTCCACCCATCAATAGAAACAAGAGATGACACCACACTACAAGCAACACTTCTTTTGGGCAAAAGCCAAAAAAAAAAAAAGTGTCCTTCCTCTCAAAGCAGTCAAGGCTCTTCGAAAACACTGTACAGGTCACGTGGAGTCCAAAGACTCCATTTCTCTTTGTTCCCAGTTCCAGCTGAACATGGCCACAGCTTGTTTTACACCAACAAGGTAATTAACCTGGATTCTTCCTTTACTTTCTAACTACCATTCATCACAGACTCTAGGCAGCAGGCAAGAAATGTGTGTCCCTAGGTGAGA